AGAATAAGTAATGGATTGGGGTTATTTTCTCAATATTTATGTCCAATATTTATTTGATAGTCATGGGAAGAAGTAGTTTTATGTGCTTTTGTTCCTTAAATACAGCTGCTCGTCTTGTTAAACAGTTAACATGATACAGTTGTTGATGCAGTGTTTTACTGTCAACAGGGGACAGTTTTGGATGACAGCACTGGTGAGGAGGAGGAGGGAGGGGAAGCCCAGCACGGAGAGGTTGACGACCATGGATTTGTACGCTTTTGTTATACTTTGAGTAATGATACACAGTAATATGCACAACAATGCTAAGATGTTATCATGTTATGGTAATATTTCTAGTTGTAATATGTAGATGCTAATTTTGATTTGGGCATTCTAATATTTTTTCTCTACAGAAGAGAAAAAAGAAATTGAGAGTCAAGTTTGTGCCACACAGAGGATTTGCCATTGTCAAGGTATCGAACCTCTACTATTGTTAATACTTAATTACTTAATGCTGTTTCACGGCATATTTGTTCACACCTTATGTTCTCTCTCCAGACTGCTGATGAGCTGAAGGGCGCACACGGGTACACACCTCGCAAAGGCTCAAAGGTACGACTGCATACATTTGAATACAGCGGGTTTGTACAGTATGTGTTTTTGTTTGTACGTTGTATTTGTGGTATGAGGATGGTTTAGGTGCTTGACATGTTTGGAATTTTGTTTTTCCCTCAGGAGAAATCACATGAGGAAGTTTTAGGTGCACATGGCTACACACCTCGTAAGACGTCCCAGGTAACACCTTGAGTTAACTCAACATTTAAACAACAAACGGCACATTGTAGGACAACGACTCATTAATTAGTTACCTCTTTGTCTAATATTGTTGGGGGTGATTTACTGTGAATCACTTTTGGAGATAGCATGACGTACTTATGTTTTTAAGTTCTGCTTTTTTCAGTCAGTGTAGCAGTTAACTATTTATTGTTTTTTCACTCCACTACTCACTCCATTACTTATTTCATTCTGGTTCTCTATGTCTAAGTTGTACAGTAATACTTATTGGACTTTTCACTAAGGATGAATTACATCATGCTTTTGAGGATGTAGAGGAGCTGAAAGCCCAACGTCTTCGGGCAACAAGCAAGGTATCTTTCTTAGTATTACCATTTATATGTTGTTTGACATAGCAAACATGTGTGTATATATATTAATGTGATTATGCTGTAATCATTTGCAGACTTGACTTATGCTTTGAAAAATAACTATATTCCTCCATGCAGCATTGTTTTCATTGTAAACTATATGATTTTGGTCATTAGTGTTCCTGACTTACCTTCCAGGAATAATGGTTGTTTTGAATATGTTACTTAGGCCGCTTTCATGGATGATGAGCACTTACAGAAAAGCCTCCATATGTCTGCTGGATTTAATGGAGATGAAGATTCATATGGAATGGAAGACTGCAAACCTGTAACTTTTTTTTCTTTTAATAGCTCAGTTTTTCAATAACAATTTGTCACTAGTTTTCACCTAATGGGCTTTTTTCCTTCATCAATAGAAGAAATCAACAAAGATGAAACTACTGCACATGGGTCGTCGGAGCTCTAAGGTAAATATGTTTCTGTGAAATGTTTGCAAGGAAATAAAAAATGTTAATTTGGGTTTTTCATAAATGTGTCTGAATGTTTTTTTTATTAGGAGGACATGCTGGATGACGGTCTTCAGAAAAAGAAGAGCAGCTTCTCAGCAGAGGAGTTAGACGATGACGAGCTGAACGGGATGGAAGATTGCAAACCGGTATTTTTCTATCTGAAACCAAACCTGTAACAAGCTAACAGCTGCAGCGGCACTAGAAGCACAGTGTGACTGCTCAACAATAGAGAAAATGATCATAAGTGTTTGTGCTGTTAAATGCATCATTGTGCTGGATGTCTTTCATTGTGAATAGAAGTATAAACCCTTCACTAAGATAGATGCTTGCTGTTTTTTTTATTCCTCCCAACAGCATATGAGGTCCTAAGCTTTACTTACTTACTTACACACAATCATTTTTTGTTTCTTCTGTCAGAAAAAATCCACACGAAAAGGCTTCCCTGTTCCCGTCCCACGCAAATCTAAGACTGAACCAGCTGGATTCAGCCACCACATGACTCAGCAAGCATTCAGTGTATGTTTAATGTTGATTTCATGCATAAACATGGGGCAATATTAAAATATAATAATCCACTTGAATTGTTTTCTGCAACTCTTTTTCTGACACGTGCTTTTTTCAGGATGCCTTTGCTGAGGATGACACTCAAACAGGAAAAGATTTCATGAGTCATGGAGAGATGTCTGACAGCGAACAAGATGAACTGGAAACTTGCAAACCGGTATTTTCGTCAACCTCACGTTCACTGTTACTGCTTTACTTTGAGTTACTTTAATCTATGATACTCAAACGTGTTCTTTTCAACAGAAGAAGTCATCTAAACTTAAAGGTCTCAGAAAACACAAGGCTAAGGTGAATCAGTGCACTCTAATCACACGAGCTAATAGGGATTTTGCTCATATTGCTGTCAGAATGACATGCTCACTTTTCATAATGTCCTTGTCACAACAGAGCAAAGCCATGCATCCAGAGTATGAGGATCCACCAGGAGCTACGTCTAGTGACTACCTGTCAGAGGCCGCTAAGGTGGGTTTGATGGTTTCAGAGTGGACAAACATATTTAAATGATCAGGGCATCAAACTTGGATTCTTTTGACAGCCATTAGTATCAAAATGGTATGTGTTTAATCCTTAGAACAACTTCTTTATCTTAATGCAAACTGGTTAGCATGGATGTTCTCATCAACGGCCCAGTTTTCACTGGGTCACTTTCCCACAGCTTTGCTAAGTTCACCATGGTGGAACTAACTTATGACATAGCAACACCTCTTAACACTTGTTGACTTTGATCACACATTTTTGTTTTGGTCTAGAATTGTGAGTCAGCCCTGCCTAGCCTTAAGGAGAAAATTCCTCTATGATCCGATTTACAGTATATTATTGTTTTAATACTGTATTCATTTACTGTCTGCTAATCCATCACTGATGTGTGTGTGTGTGTGTGTGTGACACTGTTTCCTAAAGCGTTTATGTGTGCCTCAGAAAACCAATTTAATACCTATTAGCACTGTATGGTTGTAGTAGTGGCAGTAAACCTTCCTGTTAACTATTGAGAAGCTATTTTAAAATCTTGTTGTTTTCCACTGTTGGTTATCTTCACTTCAGTGCTCCTGATGGGACACATTCCTCTGACATGTGACTGGTCCGGTTCAGCAACATAGCGTACATACTAGCCGACACACCGACTAGTGCAGAGAAAAGTCTCAATATATACAAAGGCCTTGGTTAAATAAAGCTTTTTGATGACTAATCTGTGTAAATATGGTAGTAAAAACCTATTGACGTATCAACTGGCTTATTTTTGTCCTCCCCTCTGCCCTCATTCAGGCAGAGTGGCTGGCTGCTCAAGTGGATGAGCAAGCTATAGCAGGAATGGAGGATGAGGACGAGGAAGGGGTCAGTTTCTCTTTAAAATTGTTCAACAGAAATGTTCCACATCACCACTACATTTCCTGTGTATGCAAGTGAATAATGTTCTCTTCTAGTAGTGTAGCGGCCAGGTATGAACCATTTTGTGTCGTTTTTGTGTCACAGGACACTGACAGTTTGATGGAGTGGTGGCACACGGTGGAACGTGAGTCACAGTCAGACTTCATTTAAGCAGCAGATTCAGATAACTGAACTTCAAACTTTATTAACAGCGGTTTGTTGATTGTGTTCCAGAATGGGATGAGGTGCCATCAGATGATGACAAAGTCTTAAAAGAGGATGAGTCCAGGTACGTCGGTTTGTATGAAGTGTGCTGGGGGGGTAGTTTCTGCTATTTCAGTAGTTTGCAGTGTTATGAATCAGATAACTGAGGCAAAAAAGGAAAAAAGTCTGCACTAAATGTAGAGCTGAAAGAGTTTTCTTGACCACAAATAGATCAACTAAGAATATCTAATCTGTAAATCTTTTCATAATCAGTTCATCATTTCAGTCTTTTATCTAGCAAAGATACCCACATTAGCTGGTTCTAACTTCTCCAATGGGAGGATTTGATAAAGAAGTAATTGTTAGTTGCAGCCGCACCTAAATGTTAACCGCACTGTGTGTTTGTGTACTCTGCACTTGGCACAGGGACCAGTGAGTAGGATTTAGTGGCAGCTAGTGGTGAAGTTGCAGTTTGCTGCTATTTAAATAAAGCTCAGGCTTCCAAGCCTGTAGTAGAAACTACGGTGGTCACTAAAGGCCATATCTAGAGCCAGGCTTGGTACTTATGTTCTGGGTTACTGTAGAAACATGGTGATTCAACATGGCGACCTGTAGATAAAAAATAGCCTATGGTAAGGTAATGAAACAGTTGTTGTTTTCAGGTGATCATACCGTACCTATTATATTCCCTTCCTGCCAGTAGATCCTCCTAAATGTGACTAACTAGACTAAAATAAAATCTGCCACAATAATGGATGATTGGCAAAAAGGGTTAAAACTGAATACTTTTGTATTTTATTATTTAGAAAATGTAGCTCCTTTTTGAACTGGTCTTTCCTAATGTAAAGTCAGTGAGTATTGTTGTTAACTGTTTGGCCTTTTGTATCATGAACCACATTTCATACCGAGCATAACGTTTCTTTGGCTCCCTAATAAACCCCAGGTCCTTCACCAACTTGGCGAACAAGGTTCATCGCGGCCTGCGCGTCTTCAACAAGGTCTTCACAGAGCGAGCTGAGGTCCTCTGGCATTCCGTCATCATGCTCCACGCCATCGCAGACGACATCAGCCGTTTCCACCACAAGGCCAAGATCGCCGGCATCACCGGTGGCACCACCACAGCTGTGGGCGGCGTGACGGCCATCGCCGGCTTGGCTTTGGCCCCCTTTACCTTTGGCGCCTCTCTCGTAATCACCGCTGTTGGTGTGGGCGTGGCAACGGCCGGCGGAATCGCTTCAGCCTCTGCGGCCATCTCGGATAACGTTAACAACATGCAAGACCGGAAGAAGGTAAGCTGCCTCCGGGCAACATTTCTTATGAAAAAAAGATTACAAATCAACGTTTCAGCATTCTTCATGTCCTGAAACATGAATCTTTATTAGTTGAAATAAATGCATCAGAGTTAGGAGTGTGCAGCTTTCCTATTCTGTTCTGTTCTGTCTGTCCTTGAGCCAACACTTCACTGGAATAGATCATTATAGTGTGATGTTCTTTTAACGCTGCAAACTGTTGAAAGCACTGGACTTTGACACCCTGTCTCATTTTGTGCTTGAACTTACCATCGACTGTTTCAGTGTTTAACCGAAGACTGCGCTCTGTCGCTCTCCTTCCTCAGGTGGAGGCAGTACTGCAGGAGTATGAAGCTCACCTGCTGCACATTGGAAAGATCCTCCACTTTATCAATCAGGGCCTGTACAAACTCCGGGGCCATCCCTTCCTCAGGTCCGGCACCCAGCACTACTCGCAGGACTGGGAGATCCGCAGGGCCGTCCAGATGATCAGCTTAGTGGACACGCCGGTGATGCGGGCGACAGAGATAACGGACGCGGCTGTTGCCTCGGTCCAAGGACTCTTCAAAGGCATGGACAAGTACTTCATCAAGGACTCCCGAGAGCTGAAGAAAGGCTGCAAGAAGGAGGTGGTGGGTCAAATAAAGGGGGTGGCAAATGTGCTCAATGATGGGATAGTGGAGCTCAACAGCATCAGGGAGGAGCTCCAGGATGCTACTGGAAACATCTGAGGAACAGCATGTGTGATTGTTTCTCAAAGAACACCATCGCCCTCTCCTGGCTAAACGAGGGAACTGTTGATTTTGAAGGAATTCATGGGCCCAGCACATCAGTACCATGTGATATTAAGTTTCAGATATTTTTAACACAAGTTTTGTTAAACTAGCAGACTGTGGATGTTTTAGAAGAAGTTTATTTCTTAATACAATTTATATACATATATCAACCACTGGGACTAATATGCGTCATTATTTTGGTTGGTGATTTTCGGCAGACGAGGTGTTTTCAAATTCTGGTTTACTTTTGAGGCTGTAAATTATTTTGTTGTATTCGTTTGACATTTGTAAACGATTTCATGTACACACGGGGACTGGTAAAATAATAGGGAAGTGGACACCGTTCTTTGTGCACTGTATGTTATCTGGGTAAAAGGATTAAATAGAAGGTGTATCACAATGTAGCTTTGTGGTCACAGATGGCTTAAAATGAAATGGAAATTATAAACGGGTGCACTTTAAAATACAGCAAGTATTTTTAGTCTGGTTATTATGTTTTATTATATAGTCAGCACAGCCTTACCTTGTTCAACCCCTGTATCAGATACCAGTTTATAATAGTAGTTCATAAAGAGGAAACTGCAGACAAAAGAGGTACTTGCATTGTCTTCTAGAGTTAGGTTTGAATGTTAAAATTGATATGTTGAATTAAAGTTACTATATTCATTTACCAACAGGATTGTTTGTAAATATTAACTTTTCATTTAAGTCATCTTATTATCCTGTTTTAAAGTCTTCTTTAAAGAGAAAATGTGACAATGCTCCATATTCACAATAAAATGAATGTTGTATATAGGGTAATTTTTTTTCATATATCGCTGCATGGCATTGCTTCAGAACACAAATTCACTAAACAGCTGAGTAATGATTTTATATAATTGAACTGTAGGTTGTGGTTTGCTGATTCACAGCTTTTTGTTGCAGGTCTGTTGGTGTCGTTAAGTTAAGTATGAAGCATACATGTAACTGTGTGAAATGATGGCACATGTATTACTGAATGCCTGAATGGCTTAGAAAAACATCTTATGCGTGTGTATTTTGGCTACAGGAAGAATCCATGTTATTGTTACCTCTATTTTCTGTACAAAAAAAACTGAAGACAGTTTTGGTCCTACCATGTGGCATCCATGTAAATACTGTTAGGATATGCCTGAATTATTTTAACCTGTATGTGCCTCTATAATAATGTATTTAACTGTCAAACTCAAAGCTATTCATAAGTGAATATGTTGTGAATGCAGAACGATCACTATATGTTTTAATTGTGAAATATAGCGGCCACTTTTGGTGTTACTGGATAATCCTGAACAGAGTCTGTAAAGGTCTTAACAATTTGAATCCAACATGTAAATCTGTGAATAAAGACTGTTTGCCAGTGTGGCCTTTAGGGGATGTTTCCGGCTTCTAGCCTGTGTCACTTTACGCTGAGCAGCTGTACCTGTGTTTTTATTTACCCTGTAACTCAAACTATTCTGGTATCCACATATAAATACATAAAGGAATTCTGAAGGTTTTTTTTATGAAAGTAAATAAGTAATAATGAGAATATAATTGTGACATTTTATTACAATTTTTTTTTTTACAGTACCCAAATTCAGATTTAAAAATGACGCTATCATGAGCATGAGTGCCATTCACACTAATTAAAGTGTACAGTAATACTCTCACATAGGCTATGTATGTTTGATTTATGTATTTGCCTCCATACTACAGAGGACAGTATCAAAGCTCATTAATATACAATTAAATACAGGAATAAATTAGGTAGAACAATGTGAAACAAATGTCAATAAATAGAAATAAAAAGAATAAGGGTACAGAGCTCAACAGGAGCCCAAAGGCAGCCCTACTGGCACTGCACCTTCACAAGACCCATGGAACAAAACAAGTCCCAGAGGAAAGAGGCCACGCCCCTGCAGGACAGGTAACAAAGGTGCTCTAAATGAGGACATGAGACTCTCTTTTCCCAAAGTATTCACAGCTCTGAGGGTGTGTTGAAAACTACCCCACTGTCACTGTGAACCCGTCCATTGTTCGCCCTTTATACTGAAACTTCCCCTGATATGAGCAGGCAGGAGTCCCCGGCACCCGCACTCAGTAACCCAACGCCGGGGAGGTCCGCCTCACTCTCCGCTAAACCAGTCTGACGTCTCCGCGTGATGAAGGGGAAGTGAAGGACTGTTGTCCAACTTTTAAATCAAGTTGACTCCTCTGTTGTTGCTTTGCAACCCACCGTGTTTTTTGTATCATTTTGTTTTTTTCTGCCAACACTGAGGTAGGCACCGTGCTCGTTTCATTGTGTTGTTGCTGGCGTTTTGTGTTGCCACACATTCCTCTGTAGTGGCAAACACAATGTACGGTACTGTTTGTGAACTGAATGCGACGGTCTTTAGTGTGAGCGACACAGACCAAACTGTGTTCAAAATTCTGCCAATTTAAAGGTTTGTTGCATGTTTGCTAAGTTACACGTTGCGGAGAGCGACTCAAGATTCATTGCCACTCCAGTTGGACACACTTTTCAATTCGGCATTAACCTCTTCAACAAAACATCACCTTTTACAGTACATCGTAACTTTTATTATACGCTTGCACACATTTCACCCTGTCTTTTCCACCACGAGTGGGCGCTAGCCGCTGATGAGAGTTGAGTGGAAATATTTCTCAAAATGGGCGGTATGGTCCATCTGATATGAACCGAATTTTCCAGTAAAATGTGTTTTTACAGAAACACTCAACTCATACTGAACCACTTTTGCAAGTTGACCAGTTGTACAGAGCAACCTGAAATTGTCAAAAAATGTAATGGCATTTAGTGTGTGGGTCTAACCAGAGAAAAGACGACCTTGGCAGCTTTAAAATAAAACAGCAGCATGGCCTATGTGACTGTCACTTTGGTTTTAATTAAAGCCATACATCCTTGCCTCACCACAACACCATGTATTTCAGCATGAACATGTTCAGAAGAGATAAAGGCTCGACAGCCTCAACTCCAGTGGTCCCACCAAGACCCAGCAAGGAGGTATGTAGAGTGTGTGAGAGAGAGAGAGAGTGATTCAGGTTGGTTGCATTTGTTTGTTTGTTTGTTTACATGTACCTGCTCTGTTAACTGAAGCCTTCATTCATCGCCAGGAGCTAGACAATCCGATCACGCACAGTCTGAGCAAACAGGATGAAGGACTGACGGCGGCCTCGCAGGTGAATGTTCACACAGAGTTGCCCGACCACATTTTCACTCTGATTATTTCTTGTAGGAAAACAACAGCGTTCCACATGCACCCTCAACCTGTCCTAGTGTCTTTGGTTTGCTGTGCATTGTGCATCTGTGCACACCATGTTAATATTTTGTTTGACCAAATCTATATGGCAATTTGATTGATGTATGTTTTGTGTAAACATCAGAAGAGCGGGGTGATGGGAGTTATGCAGAAGGTCAACCCATTCAAGTCCACCTCGCAGGTAAAACATTAAACAGTAAGTGTTATGAGTTTAACTTAATGTGAAATGATGAGATTAAACTTTCTCTCTGGATCCAGGCCCCCTCCACAGTCAGCAAAGCCCCTTCCTCAGAATCTCTAGAACAGGGAAAAGACTCCACACAGGTGAGAAGAACTCAAACAGAATGTATGTGCCGTTACTGCACGGGACAGATTTCTGATACTTGAAGTATTTTTTGTCATATATTAGTGGTTAAAAGCTGCTCTTTAGACAACATTTGCAGCAGGCGACTCCTCTAAACTCTGACCTGACTCATGTAAGAGTCAAGATTGCGTGTTTAGTTATGTCATTTGTACCACTTTTGTCACTTTTCTTCCTTTTTATTCTGACAAATGTGAGACAATAGGAGATCTAATAGCGTTTTAATTAAAGCTCTGAGAAGTGAATAACACCAGTAGTCACAGCAAAAAAAGTAACCTGAGCTCCATCATGAGTCATTCCAACGTTGCATTCAACAGAAAATAATCTCTAGTGGGAAGTGAAGTAAAAGTGGCAAAAAGCCAAGACTCATTATTACAGCTCTACTGTAAAAGCAGAGTGTACAAACCTGTACCAAAGTATGAACCAGCACCGTTTGAACCTGTTTGTGTTGTAAAACCTCGCAGTATGGATGGATTTCTGAGTCACATTAGGTGATTTAGTGCCTTATTAATTAATTAATTTAATACAGCTACCAGGTGAATGAGCCGGACTAGAGGACTTGAATTGTTCTTGAATTGTTGAATCTTGTGTTTCAGAACCCTGGTATGCTGAAAGGGGTCATGCAGAAGGTCAACCCATTCAAGTCTACCTCCCAGGTAACCGCAGCATTGTCAACACGTTACAATGGTTACGGTAATAGTAACAATGGTAACGGAGGATCTGTGTCAGACAATAAGGCGTCCACTAACCTGGTTTTGTCACGCAGGTCTCAAAAGCTCCATCTTCAGAGTCCCTGGAGCAGGGGAGGGTTTCAGACTCTAATCAGGTGGATGAAAAGGTGATTTAAGAGGATTTCCCTTGTCCAGAGTCATCTTCATGTACTCAGACAGAATATAAAACAATATATTAAACCACGGTACACACGGGCACTCAATCAGGTTTCTTCAGGTTATTAATCTCTTAATTTGAAACTCGCTTTTATATATCTACATCAACATTTCTGAAATGGGGAACAGTTGGAGAGAACAGCAGTGTACTGTTCCTTTAGCTTTAAATGTCAAGAAAACCTCAGATGTTGACCAACATGAGAGGCACGTAAAGGAAGTGGTCCAATCCTGTTTCTCCAAAATAAGAAACATTGGCAAATTAAAAAGGTGTATTATACATTATAAAAATAATGTTTCCTCTCGTCTTTATTATTGTAATTCACTGTTCACCACCCTTAGTCACTCTATGCCTCAGCTCCACTTGATCCAAAATGCGTTCGCTAGACTCCTCAACTGTTCCATAGGCACTTTGTCCCACTTTGTACTTTTTAAAATTTTATTTCCATTATTTATTTTATTTATTTAACTTCCTAATGTTTACATGGTACAGCACCTTGTAACTTCGCAAGTTGCTTTATAAATAAAGTTTACCTTGTGGGTTGTGTTTTAGAACCCGGGTATGTTCAAGGGAGTGCTGCAGAAAGTCAACCCTTTCAAGCCTTCCACACAGGTATTTTCTCTTCAATGTAACATGAGCTGAACAATGACCCGCGAATCATTTTAAAAGGCGAAGCATTGAGAAAAATATAATTAAAGATGCGGATCCACCCTGACTATCTGCTTTAGGTGCCAAAGAGCGATCCTGAATATGATTCTGCAGATCCACCAGAGGCAGGAAAAGAACTTCAAGACAAACAGGTAAACATGGTCTGCTCTTCTGTACGTAGCCCATGGAGACAAAAGACTTCTACATTTAAAAAGCCTGTTCTGATTAGATCAACTTGTTCTGCTTAGACTTCACTTGTCCAACCAATGTGTTTCAATATTTAGAATCCAGGGATGATCGCAGGCATGATGCAGAAAGTCAACCCATTCAAATCCTCGCAGCCAAAGGTACCGGTTGCAATACTGATAACGACACTAAATGGATGTTTTGGGAGATCAATAAATCTTATCGGCTGTGTAATTGTTTTTCTCTGCCTTGCATCTGGTCTTTCCAGGACCCCCGGCCTCTAAACAGTGAGCTGTCCTCCAGCGACGGGAGCTTAGCAGATAATAACAACGTGCCAGAGAAGCAGGTAGGTCTGTGCTGTGTATTAAGCAGCAGACCCCATAAAGCCTTTTTTTTTATTTATTTTTTTTTTATACTTATGTAGGTGCTGGGCAAACAAAATTAGAGTAAAATGTTAACATTGTATGCATGTCAGCTACCTAATATGGAGTAAGGCAACCCCTAGCCTTTAAAACAGCTTCATGCAGTTTGAGTGAGCTGCATTGGTATGTACCAAGTTAAAGCTGCAGTAGGTAACTTTATAAAAAATAACTTTTTGTCACATTTGCTTTAACTTTTACTGTAACCTGACAGTAGAACATGAGACAGATAATGTGTGAAAAAATCTGGTTCCTCTGGCTCCTCCTTGTGCTTCTAATGGCATTTATAAGAATCCACCGTTGTCAAATACTGACGCTGGGAATGAGACTCAAACAACTATCTTTCTTGGCTCTGATTGGTTGTTTTCGCTCAGTCCCCGGTGGATTCTTACGAATGCCTTTAGGAGCACCAGGGGGAGCCAGAGGAACCAGATTTTTTTCACACATTATCTGTCTCGTACTACTGTCAGGATAAAGTGAAAGTTTTGGCAAATATGACCAAAAGCTACGTACTGCAGCTTTGACTTAGTAAATACTCCCAATTCAGCTCATTCAAACTGCATGAAGGTATTTTAAAGCATTGCCATCTGCCAGTGTTATTCTTGCTACGACCACTAGATGGTGACAAAGAAAATAATTTGAATCTTCAGAATGATCCTAACCTTTTTTGCAACTACTCCTGAATCATAAGTATATTTTGATAAATATATTTGTATTTGCTTCATTGCCTCTTTTTTTGTCTGTATTTGTGTAATTTTTGTGTTTGTTTTAGAACCCTGGAATGTTCAAAGGGATGATGCAGAAAGTAAACCCCTTTAAGTCTTACACACAGGTACCGTGCTTGAGATTAACCCCTTAACTGTCTCAATTTAAGTTAGTTTACACTGTTTAAAAAAGTAGTTTCAGTGTTGGTTTTATTAATATTTTATTAGAATATGGGGGCTGTTTGTCAAGGGCAAGACTGAAAAAGCTCAGGATTTGTATAAGACAAACATGTCTGACTCAAAACACCACTGGCTCAATAAACATGCAACTCCTCATGCTTGTTGTGTCGACAAACATAACTTTAAGACTACAACTAGACATTTTTATTTTTATTTTAGTTAATTTTGTGATCACACGGTATTCCTCAGTTACTGTTACAGTCACCAATATCCTCGGGTCTATGTTGGACTTGAACGATCTAATCATTCATATATTTTGACCTCTGTGACCTACAGATGCCAGACGAGGAATGTCAGACTGACTCAGCGGTTCCTGCTTCCTCATTAAAGACACAGGTACGGGTTATTGGGATTTATTTTTAAAGGTAATGGAGATGTTTGCTCCAGTTCCTTAATAAGTTGAAATGATTTCAGACGTTATTATGCAATAATCATAGACCACGTTGATGAAGATTCTTAAAATGAATCATCTTAGTGTTCTTAACTCAAGTGTCCAGTTTACAGTACTTAAAATATGATTGTTTTCCCATTTCTTATTTCTTATCAGGAAAACAAAACAATTCAAAGAGAGCACTCCACCAGCTCTGAAAGTTTGGATGACAGCACCATAGAGAGACATGTAAGACATTTCATTTACTGTTTTTCCAAACTTGACCCAGATTAAAGTGTTGATGTATTATGGGGCTTAAATCTAATAAACCAAACATGATCTCTAACACAGACATCTTTTAAGACAGCTGTTACAAAGGCTGACTTTTTAGCCATTGTGTTTTCTATTTTACTACTGCACAAAGACGGTGATCATACTCGGATGTAACAATGAAAACATGCAGTCTACCTGGGGTAAATGCCAGGCGTATGTCATGGGAGGCATGCACTGCGTGCAAACTTACTCAAAGAAAACAATGATTGTTTGGAAGTTGTTTGTCGTTGTCTGACGTGACCCAAACAGCGCAACAGTTCTAGAAAAAGACAAGCTTATTTATCTAATCTCATCCTCTTTACTGAAATGTGGTAACATACTTGTATAATAACAAGGCCCGTTGTGGTGACCTTAAACTCATTAGGAACAACAGTAAATCAAACATTTAATAAATCTTATGGCTCAATAATCATGAAAAACTACAGAGCAAATCTTGCCTGAAGCTTAGTGAGAGGAATTCTTTAACCCCAAAGTCAAACTGTAGCGAGAACTAATCCCTCAACTTCTCCACAGTCTATTTGGTATACTGATGCTGACACGAGCTGCGAAGTGAAGAGCCAGCCAGCGGAGGCTCCAAAGAAAAGAACGAGGGTATGTAAAACAGTGCTCTAGGTCGGGCTGCATTCAAATTAACCCCATTCAACACAGGAAGTATAAATGCACTGATACATGTGTCAAGGTGAAACCTTTGTTGAACTGTTACTCATGCGGTTACTGCTCTTTTACTGAGGGGGCTGTAAAGGTGTGAAAGTAATATTTGTCTTCTTTTATTTCTTCTCTAGACTTTCAGGATAAGGAGGATTCTGCCCAATGCATTGTTTGGGTCCGGGACAAAGGTATCACTAACCATAATACAGTCAATATACTGCTAAATGAAGGAGTATATTTTTATTTAAAATATGATATAGTGCATATGGTTATGTATTTTCTCCATCATAGTGTCTTTATTGCAGGTTTTAGGGTTTTTTCACATTTGTTTTTACATTTCTTAATACTTTTGGCTCCATAGGACTCTGGAACAGCATCCTCTGAAACTGCCCAGGTGAGCAGGCATGGCAGGTTTATTTGTACAGTACCTTTCAAACACCCAACTCAGTGCTATAAATGAGGTATAAAAGACTTCAAACTAAAATAAAACCCACAAAAGCATACTGGATACAATGGCCAGTTTCAGTGCAGTAATAAATGGACCCATCAATGTGTAGTATAGAAAATAAAACCAATGGCGGATGACTGCAGTAGCTGTTTTCCCCACACTGCAAATTAGAGTTGGTGCTTGTCAAGCACACATGTACTCTCATGCAAACCATTTTTCAGAGGTATCATGAAACTATGTAAATAAAACCATACACATATTTTTATAAAGGGTGTGTTTATTTGCCCATGCAACTCCCTTTTGATGGAATAGTTTTTGTCCCGTCACAGCAAAGCAACCTGTCGTTTCAGATGAAATCCATTGAGCCTTTTCTCACGTCTCCCTTTGTTTCCATCCCTTCATCAAAGGACAGCTCCACGCTTAAATAACCTGTTACCAGCCTACTTATTCTATCCTTTTGTTGGTTTTTGGCTTGAGGCCAGCGAACTTCTTGTTGCTGGAGGCGTTGTACTACCTGTCATTAAACTCTAATTGGGAGGCATTCCTTTTCACTGGAACAACATTTTGTTAGGTCAACATCCAATCCAAGTGCCAATCTTCAATATTACAAAATGTTTCAATATACTACATTGTCACACAGCCAACACAGAGGCAGCCACTGAAATGAAAGGCAAAACAAAGTAAGTGTATGGCAATGGGATTTTACAACCGTGTGTAATCGAAAATGGGTCAAAGATTGTGTATTTTTCTGTTAAAGGAAACAGTGGAAGTTCAGACACTAGAGATGGCTGAAGTTCCAGTGCCCAGTGAAGGAACAGTCCTGGACCCTCTAGATGTAAGCTTTTTTTAAATTTTTTTTTCCACTTGATGCTTGTTTTATATGTCATGTAATTTCCCCTCTACATACAGAATTACTCCAATGAGTTTAAAATGTTTCACTTTCAGGATGAGGATGGCCTTTTAGCGTGGTGGAGAACAGTGGAGGGTATGCTTATTATTTACAATTTTATGTGTCGTTGATTTAACGGTGATCTGGTTTTGTCGTAGTTGTAATGGTTTCTTTCTGTGTGTTAGGCTGGGAAGAGTGGAATGAGGCAAACCAGAATGATGAAGCTGAAGAGTAAGTGGTGCATTTGCTGAAGCTATCAATCTGCTTTAGAGTAGCACATTAGCCAACACCCATATGATATCGCACTATATTTACTTTATATACATGCTTCTTTCAAACTGAAAGTTGCATAACAAACCAGTGTTTTCTTAACATATTGGCCTTGTGTCTCAGAGTGGTGGAAGAAGCAGCTGATCGCGTCTTCATGGCCGCTCGTCTTTTTGTCCGCTTCTTCAACCAGCGCGGCGCCTCGCTCCAGCAGCGCATCCTGGAGCTGCTCTCTTTGGCCGACGCGGCCGACATTTTCCACAAGAAAACGGTCACGGCCAGCGTCGGCGGTGGCGTGGCCAGCGTGGCGGGGTCCATCACCACCATCACCG